AATACATTTTTTATTAGAATAAAATCCCGCAAATAGATTCAATATACATTGCTTTAATACATATTTATGCTATTTGTAAATTGCTCAATGAGCTGACTTCAAAGTAATTTCCCATTAAAATATTTGCATTCTTGTGAAATACTTGAAAGCGGCTTTTTGAAACCTAAGCAACTATTTTTGTATTCTTCCTGCTTGTTTGTTCTGGCAATAAAAAACGAAGAAGAAGAATAAGAAGACGAGGGGGCGAAACAAGAAAAAACAGCAGTTCAAGTGGCGGAACTGCTTAGATGACACTGTAAAGCGACTAAAGTACACAGGCTCCATTGGGCCGTAAAGCCGGCGAATGAAACGTAAATGGAAACTCAACTCAGCTCAGCTGCAGAGCTTGATGTCGCTGCTGGTTTTGCTTATTATGCTCATTCGTGGGCTCTTGCCGTGTCGTGCCTGTAAATCACACTACTTCCGACGCGTCGGGCGCTCATATTTGCACTTATACACTCGCCTACATGGAGAACGCACAGAAGGCCGACAGTTAGACAGGCAATTGGGCGGACAGACAAAAGAGGCGTGCTGCCGAAGGGAACAGTATCAACAGCTGTTGTTGTTGTTGTTGTTGCTATTGCTGTTGTTATTGTTGTGTTTTGTTTTTGTCATTGTTGTTGGGTGCACAGGTTCTCCTGCGCAATATTATTGTAGTCGACTTTGTAGCGTTGCTCGCTTGGCTGCCGCCATTGGGCAATTTGTATGGCTGTAAGTGTAAGTGTCCGTTTTTATTCTGTGTGTATGTGTGTTGGTGTGTTCTGGTGTGTGGGTGTGCGTTTAATCAACGCATTGTACCATTTAACTTTACAAACAAAACCTAAGCGCCAACACACACACACACACACAAACACACACAAGACCACTTTCATTTAAAGCAACATCCTGCGGCGTGTTGTTTTTTGTGCCCGTTCTGTTGCTCTTGCTTATCTCATACACTGCCTGCCTGCCTGCCTGCCTTATCGGGAGCAGCTTAATAACAATCCGGCCACATAAAAATACTTGAAAGTGCTCCTTAAAAATGTATGACATTTCGCATTGGTCACCGAAGGCCCACTGGCATTGCTACACTGAAGCTGAAGCTGGCGCTGGCGCTGGAGCTGGCAGCGTTGCACTAAAAACATCAAATGTTCTTATTTTCTTCGAAATTGTTGTTTAAAAATTTATCCAAAAATCGACAAAGAAGACTTTTAGCGCCTTGCTGCTAAGCACTTGGCAACTGGAGTTCAACAAAAAGTACAATTCATGCGGCATACAAATAAAAACGAAAATAAAAAGCAACATACATTTCTTCATACCTAAATGGCCTGGTATTAATATAGGACGAAAAGAGCAAATATTTGATTCCTCCTATCTTTCAAGCTTTAAAAGTTCAAAGTGCTATTTGGATATGTATTTGCTTTATATGTATATAGACGTGGCAATAAAATTCTATCTAAAAATAAAAGATGGTTTGAGGTGAATTATATTTTAAAAAATGTTTAAAATATATGTATGTTTATATTTATATATTTATTGTCAGATATTTTATCGTCAGTTTGGTTTTTGTTGACTGTTCATTACGTATCATTTAAATACTCATTTAAAACTTTACTCCCTCCATCAGCTAACAAATTTAGAACCAGCTCAAATGCTTTAAGGACGACCATCTCTAGCTGCTCATGACATTTGTTGTTCACTTTTTATTGCCAATTAAATGCTGCAGCTGCTGTTTCAGCTCTCGCATCTGGAATCTAACTTTTCTAATTCTATTACACATTCACTCACAAAACGCTCTGTTGTCTATGAAAC